TTCGCATTTCCGGAACTTGAGAAGATTAACTGTGGCTACGAAATAAGTGTTTACTGAGTCATATGAGGAATTTGTCTATCTGTAGCCTCTCTGAACATTTGATGTTCCGTGAGTCATGCACATATGTAGCCGTGTGGTGTAGCAGCTTGGTCGAACCGCGTTTCCGACGTCTCAGCGTGGACGATTGTTACTGGATCAAACAATTTAGTTCGAGCGAAGCAGACACCTTTGGTCAAATAGTGTGACCAGCCCTGGACGGGTCAGTGGTTAAAATAGCTGGCGCTTGACCGGAAAGTTGGTCTTCTGCATCTAACCTTTGCTCCTTTCTGGGTTTGGACAGCCTGACAGTAGCTCAGCTATTGTTCTGTCTTCCGGATGCGTGGCTCCGATGCACTGAAATAGTGTCATGGCGGAAGCAGCTTGGTAACTGGATGAACACGCAGTAGCGCATTTGTTCACAACCGATTGTTTACTCTATTGTCGGTTTATACCACGCAAAACAAACTTGGGCAGGGGGAAACGTTCGAAACATAATGAAAGGAATGTAGCGCAGTTGATTTCTCTTGCGCTTAGCCAAAATGGATAATAAAAACGGCGGTGCTTTAAAAGCTGCCATGTAGTTGTCAAGCTTTTACGATGTGTGCATACCATAGGTTAGTATCTTAATGGTACCCCATATTTACTTGAAATGAATATTCTTAACATATTTTCAGCTGAGCATAGCTTCCAGCTACATGTTTCCGGTACACGAACGTAGGAAAGTCTCAGACAGAAAAATGTCCAGTCATTACTGTGGGTACTATTTTTTTTATTGCCGCACAGGTGTTCAGTTCGCCGAGTAAGTACTATTTGCATGTAATACTATAATCGTTCAGCTGTAGTGCGCTTTCGGTGCCCAGCTGCCACATCACTCGAAGGAGGCACAAGGACTGAAATACTGCCAGGTTACCCAAGTCTAGACAGGGGAAGTCGAGAGGCAGAGGTCGGGTTCGAACCACGAACCTTCCGGTCAGCACATTCGCACCCTAACCAGGAACCATGTCGATCTCGAGACATGCATATACGTACCAACCAATTGGCACATTCATCCATGTGTCCCACTGTGCCATGAAACGACTTATGTTCGGAACCTCAATGATGACAGTCACTACATGACCAGTAGTACTCAGTGAGAACAGTTTTCACAACAAAGTGGACTACCGAAAGCTCCAAAAACGCAACGCAAAAGCAGACAGCGAAGTCATTTGGCCCTCACAACTGAGAATTCATCCGGTTTCCGTCGGTGCTATATTCGGCAAACATATTCAGACGATCAGGTATTCATAAAGTTTCGTCTTTTTGCAAATATCTTTCTACACTCTGCGTGCCTATTGGATGATTCGTGACAGTTACAAAAGTGGAAAAGTCACCAGTTCACACTACCTGTGGTCGCGTAAGTAGCACAAATCCTAGGTTGATATTTTCCATTTGTTCCGACCCCCAACCTGAAGGACCGGGAGACTGCTAGTCAGACCATCGACCAGCCTGGTATGGGAGACTGCGGGTGTCACATACATACCTCATCCAATGGGCCATGGAGGCACACAGACCGTCACACCAAGTGGAGTCTCTCCACACTAACCTGCGGCTGTGGGATATGACCTCTCTGAATGGCCGATTTTCAAAGACTCGAGTTAGTTGACCATCGATACTTGGCGAGAATGTTGTAACGATAGTGGTGATGTAAGGAACCATTGGTATAACAGTCTCCAACTTTCTGAATTGATCCAGCGAAGCAGATTGCAGTAGATAGAACTCGTCCTCCGCGAATTTGTGATGCGCATAAAGGAGATGGACCTTGTGGTCTCTTATTTGGTTGGCTGTTGTCCTTGCACTGCATTAAAACCTCCGAAATTAGAAAAGCAGCGCTAACTGGGGTGCCACGCAAAATTTTAAATGACTGACGACGTCTGAGAGCAGAGCTCGGTGAGGCACGACACTGGGACTGCCAACTTTCAACAAGAAAGAAGCTTTATGCGGCTTTGGAAACATACTTGACTCAGGCGGTTAGAGCGCGAATTTGCTGACCGGAAGGTCCGTGGTTCGAACGAACCCTCCGCCACTCGACTTCCCCTGTCTAGGCTTGGGCAACCTGACAGTATCCCAGCCCTCGTGCTTCCTTCGGGTGGCATGGCAGCTAGGCACCGAAAGGGCGCTACAGCTGAACGACCAGGCGATAATCAACTGGATTTCCGAAGACATCTGCTTAAACTGAATCCATGAGAAGCCGAAGGGAATCGAACTTTCTTCCGTTATAAGGCGGTAAATTAATGAGTGCTCGGCTTTGGACAAAAGAGCAAGTTAGATATCCACCAAGCTAGACTTTAATCACGTTGGTAATGGTCCCCTTGGTCGTTGGCTTGTTCGCTGAGCTGGGCAATTCGATTGCAAACGTTTCATCACCAATTGAGGTGACATCATCTGTGCGTTATTGGGGAGCGTAGTTGTGCGTAGCGGTGGGTTAGTGGTTGTGCCTTCCACCCCCTTCCACTCATCTCGACCATAGGGTTGTTGGTTGAACGTTCAGGAACTCCACTGTCCCTCTGTTATACTTATCCCTACAGGTCCCAATAATCTCTCCCATTTTGTTTTTTGACGGCGAATTTCAAAGCCCACATGCCTAGACCACCCCTCCCGCCACACACCATCATCGACAGCATGACATCAGTGTTCAACACCGACGCTTCACTGCCGATGCTTCCCGCCACACTGCCAAAAATGAACCATTCTTGGTCTGTCCAAATTTACTAAAACGCCGACGGAGAGATTGAATGCTTGAAGCAGCAGATAGTGGGACCGATTGCTTACAAACCGTTCCGCAAGATGACGGTCGTAGAGTCATAAATGCCTACTGGGATGAATCTCCGAAGGTAATTCACGCAACCTTGAGATTACAGCCGTGTTTCGGATAGGATCCATGGTCACCATTACCCCCATTGCCCCACATCGATGAAGCACCCTCGATTCCTTTGGTGCTACGCATCTGGCACTGTTATTCCAACCGTCTGACCTAGCTCAGTGGTTAAGGCGCGAACTTACCTCCTGAAGGTCCGTGGTTCGAACCCACCCTCCGCATCTCAACTGCTCGTACCTGGACTTGGGCAGCCTGACAGTATCTCGGCCCTTATGCTTCATTCGGGCGACATAGCAGCAATGCGCCCAACCTTACAATTACGTAACTGCAAACATGCAGAACGGTTAAGATGTGATGTTTAACCCATAAAAAATGTCGTTCAGCTTTAGCACCCTTTCGGTGCCTAACTGCCATGCCACCCGAAGGTTGCACGAGGGCTGGGATACTGCCATGTTGCCCAAGCCTAGACAAGGGAAGTCGAGAGGCAGAGGCCGGGTTTAAGCCACGGACCTTTCGATCAGTAAATCCGCGCTCTAACCACTTGGGCTATCTCGCGCCCGTTTAACCCATAACATTCAATGTCTCCTGTGTCGTTATCTAAGAAGACCCAGCACTTGCTCAAATTGACAGTTTGCGGGCCTGCCGTTGAGATGATATTTTTTGCAGTCGTTGCATCAGTAATGTGTAGATTTGGCACAGATGACGGCGGTTGTCCTAGCCTAATGTCTTCATCTTGTGTTCGTCAACAGGTGAGATTCCGATGGGTCTCGTCAACGCAGCTAACCTTGTTCATTCCGCTTCTCTCAGGTTCCGTTCAAGAGCATACCTTCTTCAATTCGGCTTATTATCACATAGGTCCAGTGTTCCCATCACCATCATCATCGACAGCATGACATTAGTGTTCAACAGCGATGCTTCGCTGCCGTACATTGCATCTAAAGCCCATGAAACGCCCTCGTTGGAATTTGGCCAAGGTTGACTTACTGACCTCACCCAGCTCTGTTCTCCGACACAGCGTCAGTCATTCGGAATTTTGTTTGACATCTCAAGTCGCATGCGTCAATGGTTCTTCACATTCACCCTCACAAGGTAATGGTGTGGCGGTGGATACTACTGATGAGGCATGCGAGTAGTGTGTTGTTTTCTCGTAACTCCGCCTTCGTTGAGAAGGGCTTTCCTCCTTACAATGATAGTGGCTAGTTACGTAGGATTCCACAAAGTGGCACAGTGTAAAGTAACCTTATCGGTGTGCCTTGTTCTTCGCTTGTATCACAAGTTTGCAAGGAGAGATCGGTGTGCCAAATTTCAGGATCATTGAAATGGCGATGCTTGAAATCTCGTCATGTGTACTGCTCGATAACTTAACCTTATTTTCCTGCGTATAATCGTGAAAAAGCAACTGCTTTTTACAACCACCTCCGTTTTTTTGGGACTCAGCGAGCGTTTATAAAAATCTGCAGATTGACGGTATCATTCAGGTGAAAACTGAACGAGTTGGGTAGTTTTCTTCCTGTTTCGTACATTTGCGGGCTGTCCTGTGCAAGTAGGTATCATTGAGCAGTACCTTGTCTATGGCGAAGGCCCGTATGAGTACGGTTTTCCATTGTCGTGTATGCTGACTCTGTGCTCATAAGTTCGACCCCGTCACCACCAATCTACGGTAACTTCATTTAGGATACTTTTTATGATTACGCTGCGCTTGGGTGATCTTCGGTGACACTACGCCTTCTTACTATTAAGTAATCTGAACATCATTTTACGCTTGTCTGAGATATCCGTAGTTGGTGTCCACTCTGCAGACTCAGAACGTTCTATACATCATACGGGGTCATCCCCAAATGTATACTGAACTATTTGTTTAGTTCCTCCATGAGTTTTATCAAGACATGTTATGCAGAGTGCGAAAAGCTACTGTGATCTATGACATTGAGACTTGTTCCAGTGAAAAGTCACTCCGAAACAGCACACCTGTTGATTCTGTCTGCTGACCGAACGCCTTTGCAGTGTACTGTACTCTTAGTGAAAAGTACTCCGAAACAGCACACCTGTTGATTCTGTCTGCTGACCGAACGCCTTCGCAGTGTACTGTACTCTTCTAATTTCAGATTGCGGTCGTTCTGGGTTCTTGCACAGCTGGCGGTGCCTACGTTCCAGCAATGGCTGATGAAAGTATCATTGTGCGTAAGCAAGGCACCATTTTTCTCGGAGGACCTCCTTTGGTCAAAGCTGCAACAGGTGAGGTAATCACGGCTGAGGAGCTGGGTGGCGCAGATCTACACTGTCGGTGAGTTTCTGACTTTCCCACTTTTACCGAGTACACATTCGTTTTGATGTTACCTTATGTTGTCATTGCGTTTCCACTACTCTGTCATGATCAGACTCGCCATCATAGGTTCCCCGGTTATGGTGGCCCGTCACCAAGCAAAAAGAATCTTTCAGCTGTAAAACCTTCCGGTGCCTAGATGCCATGCTACCCGAAGGAAGCACGAGTGTTAGGATACTGCCAGGTTGCCCAAGCCTAGATAGGTGAAGTCGAAAGGCAGAGGTCGGATTCGAATCACGGACATTCCGGTCAGTAAATTCGCGCTCTAATCACACGAAGAAACTGGAACTTACCGTGGTGTGACGGTTTGCGCACCTCAGCTTTCCATTGAGCTACACTGAGAAGTGTCCGCGCGACACTCACAGAGTCTCTCATACCAGGTTGGTCCATGGATAGAGGTCTGACGAACACAGTCTCCTGGCCCTCCAGGTTGGGGGTTGGAACATGTGGCGACTTGTTCCGTGGAAATGGTAATGCATTTGCATTTCCCACCAAACACCGCTGCCTTGCGGTTAGGCTTTTGATCTAAAGGCTTTCGTTGTGGACCCTAATCGTCCTCCTGTCTAGGTGTGGGCTCCCTGCCAGTATCCCAGCCCAAGCAAAATGATGAGACTCACAACTATCGATACCCTCATGCCACATCGGCCGTCACGTGGTGCCATCAGCCGGGTCGCCTTACTTGCTGCATACAGCGAGGCCGGCAAGCGAAAACATACTACTTCTGATGCCTCCCTCCTTTCTCTTTCACATGCTTTTTCTTTCTCCTCTCCCCATCCCATTAATAACTCTCTCCTTGTAGACCCAGCACTTAGGACTGCTGACTCTGTTCGTCATGCATCGGTTTTGACCGCAACATGGCGTCACATGGCGCCGACATCCTCAGATATCTCCAAATCAATCTTCAGGCCTCGACAGCCAGTCTATCTGGTGGCGTTCAATGTCCTCACTCTGAGGCGAGCAGGACAACAAGCTGCTCTTGCACTCACACTGAACTTGCTTGGCATTGATATGTGCTGTGTCTCAGAAACTAGAATTCAAAATGCAAGCACAGTGTATGGCAGTAAAGCATCTGTGTTGAACACTGATGACATGCTGTCGATGATGAGGATGATAGTTGCAGTTGATCTGGGCTCTCCAAAGAAGAAACATGTATTTACGTTGAGTTGCTTTAAAAACTGTCCGTTATTGTCCTTTTTGGGACATTCCGTCACTTGCCAGTTCGTCTACATCCTGGGGTTTTTAATTATCTGCTCATTCTGCAACTCGGCCGTCTTATCCTAGTCGTTTTCAACTCAAGATCGAACACCTCGTGGGACACTCTCCTTTTGATCTTTATCATACTCATGTGGTTCTTCTTCGATCAGTTCTGCAGAAGATGATCTGTTTCACATGTTGCGTCGTATAGTTTGCACTCCATCGACTTAACTGCCATGAAATGAGCTCCCACAATCATCGTTCAGCTGCCTAACTGCCGTGCCACCCGAAGGAGGCACGAGGGTTGGGATACCGCCGGATTGCCCGAGCCTAGGCAGAGGAAGTCGAGAGGCTTGCAGTGTGCCTTGAAAAGGGCTAACACCGTAAGCACTGTGCCGAAGAATTACCCACACCATTGAAAGTATGGAACTTATCGTAGTGAAATCAAATGACTATAGAAGGTCAAGTTTCGGCAGGAACTTTGCGTATAGTTTCTAGAGAATCGAAAGGAATGCATTGACCAAGATGATGACTGTGCCATGCTGGACCAATGAACGGCCATGCTCGATGTTGGGAGATCACAGTACCTTTGTAACCAACCTCCGGCGCCGTCTATTGAGAACACAGTGTAGGAATCCAGAAAGTTGGGATCAGCTGATCAAACGATTTCGCCCGACAAGTTTACAGAATAACTTACAGGATTTATTACGTTGCTTTACGCATACCTCCAACATCTTCAACATCCGATGAAGCCATCGAGATCAGTTTTTGGGCTGCAGTAAAAATGACAGTATCCAACCGTGTAACACACGACTGACCTAGCTAAAGGGTTAGAGCGCGGAGTTCTGATTGAAACGTATGTTCTTCGAATTGGAATGGGGAACCTAGAAGTAGCTTCCCACCGGTTACATGCCAGCTGGGCCTCAGGATGGCTGATTCATATTCACTCACTTATTTGAGAGTCTGGATGCTCTGAGACTGTTGTTGAATTCTTTACTCTGTCTGTTTCTTTACACCATTCGTAGTACTTCTGGAGTTACCGATCACTATGCCTTGGATGATGAACATGCGCTCCACTTGGCACGTAAAGTCGTGGCCAACCTCAACCGGACCAAGGTCTGCCCCGTAAGTTCTATTTCACCTAAGTTATAAAGTGCGATGAAGCTGACTGAAACCGTAGTAGCTTATTTAAAACTGGGGGTAGTACAGTTACACATAGCGGAATTCCAATTAAAACCTCATACATTTATCGCCCAAACTCTTGTCACACTAAACTATCAATTCACTGCCCTGGTCGAAGTGCTTTTTCCAAAGATGGTCGGCTCTGTATTTCGTAATGCATGTTTAGCGCTGTTGGCCAGCTGCACGTAACACGAAGGTAAATTGACTTCCTGTTCTGTGAGGTTGTAACACTCTGGCAGGCGCCTCTGCTGGGGCTTCTTGGCAAAACCGAACAGTGCTTGTAAGGTTTTCACTACTGACTCGCCCCATCTACAAATCTGACTAAGACTTCCTCGTTGCGAGCAAAGTGTGAATGTCTTACTCGGAAGATGTGTCGACAGATTTCTGTCCGAAATTTTCGTTTAAGGTCGCCTAATAAGGAAACCGCCAATTTCGATGAATGGCGTTTTTATTAGGCGGAATCCCACTCATGGGCGTTGCTGTGCCTAGGAAACACATTCCTTACGCGATTGGCCGCTTGCCGGCCCGGCATCAAGCCAACCTCTGATTGGTTGAAAGTCTGTACCCAACAGCCAATCACGATCCAGTATCTGCTGGACGCGGTTGCCAACACCGCATCCAGGTGTCAGAATTTCCAGGATGTTGTCGCCGCATACACTTTATAGACGATGCGCTGTACGTGCTTTTTACCTGGTTCTGAGTGTTATTCCCGTTTTTACATTCTTCCAAGCTCTAAAGAAGCTTTTTATATAAAAAAAATTAGATTCCCTATCAAACTTTCGAACAGGGACTCCCACTTCGGACCCAGTTTATAGTTCTTCATGTGAATCGAAGACCACTCAACGCAGCTGCAACTATCCTGAGAGCAAGGAAGATATGTGAAACTCAAATGAAAAATAGAGTTTGTAAACGATTTTTACTCACCACATAGGGGGAGATGAACCGCCCAGAGCGGGGACACTTTGCATTGGCTGAACGGCATTGCAGTGAGTCGGGTATGGATCAGGCACAGATTCTATGTAATGGGCCAATCATAATCAAACCGGTTTCACTCGACTTTCTCGGAATTTCCCTATTAATTGCATATGTGGTGTACACCGAAAGTTGATTCAGCAATCTGAGGTTGATTAGGGAAGTTGTGTGCACAATGGATACGAGACGATAACAGGTTGAACGATTTGTAGTTACTTGGATCGACCCATGGTCGTTGGCTTGTTCGCTGAGCTGGGCAATTGGATTGCTAACGTCTCACCATCAATCGAGGTGACATCATCAGTGCGTTATTGGGGAGCGTAGTTGTGCGTAGCGGTGGGTTAGTGGTTGTGCGTTGAGTAGTGTTACGTGTGTGTTACTATATGTGCTGGTAGCCAGGGTAGCAAAAACTTATGAAGATTCAAACACTTCATTTCTGGATCGGGACACAATCAAAAATGCAGGTCAATTCCTACGCAGACTACGGAACTTCAGTATAGAAGACGATGAAGTCATGCTTTCGTTTGATGTCACATCACTGTTCACTTCAATCGACCACAACCTAGCCAGGGAAACCATAGCAGAACTATTTCAGAATAATCCAAACAAGGCAGAAACCATGGAACCTGAAAGTGTATGCAAACTGTTGGACTTTTGCATGGATACATACTTTACCTTCGATGGACAAACATATCAACAGTTGAAAGGAACTCCAATGGGATCCCCAATGTCAGGATTTATTGCTGAGGCGGTATTGCAAAGGCTAGAGCGTTCGGTACTGCCGATCATCAATCCAAAGCTGTGGATCCGCTACGTGAACGACATCTTTGTCATCATGAGACGGGATTCAGTACACGACGCACATGAACTGCTC